ACCTCCTTACCTCAAAGTAAACACCAAAGACGGGGAGCCCCCGCGTGCCCCCGCCCCGGGGTGCTGCGCTGCCGCTGCCCTGGGAGGTTTGTGCTTTTCCCGCAGCTTTGCTCAGGGCAGCCCCCCTCGCCTCTCGCCGCGGGGCCGGCCGGGGATCCCCGCTTTCCCGGGGTGCCGCAACAGCCTTTTCCGAGCCCTGTAGAGAGCAAGGCTCTCCCCTGCCCCAGACCCTCCTCTATTTAAAGCGTGTCCCAGCCCACACCGCTCGTGGAGAGGCCGTGGCTTCGCCCGTGTCCTGGTTCGTTCGCTCGGCGCTTGCTGAATCCTCAGCGAGGAGGGAAAAAGACAGCGGGAAAACCCATTTCAGAGAGGCTTAAACTCAGGAATAGCGAGGAGGGACTCTCCCGCTAGGCACCCTCCGCCAGCCACTTCTCCGCCGTCACCCGGAGCCTTACCCGGTGGCTTTGACGTTAATTTTAAAATATATGCAATTCTCCCTCCCTGATCTCTGGAATGACAGAGAGCACCTTCAAGAAAGCCTTTCCCTGCCCCAATCCTGTGTTTTTGTCAGGGTTAATAATATGTAACAATATCTTTTAACTAAATTATTATGCAGTTGTCCTACTGATTGTATGTATTTTTAAATGAGTCCCTTTTTTTCTTCCCTTACACCTTTTTGTTAGCACTTTTTAATCCGCTTGTTGTTTGCCTTTGTTTTTCTATGTGTATTTATAATTAATTGAGATGTATATATATGTAAAGAGATTTTTTTTTAGAATATGTGCCTTTGACTAATAATTCCTGAATTTTCTACTTGCCTCAGAAGGATAATTTTTCATTCTGCTCAGTAAAAATGGAAAGGAAGCCACATACGACATTTCTGTAAGTCCCAGCTCTCTGTCTGTCTGTCCGTCTGTCCAGAGGTGTAGACCTGCCCCAGGATCCCATCTGGGACTCGGATCAGGATAGGGGATCCGAGGGCCGGGGTCCTACCGGCAGCTGGAGTTTATCTATCTGTCTCCTGTGTCACCAACTCGGCGGCAGTTGAGCAGCGCTGTCCTGAGCCACCCCCTTCTCCCTGGGCCGAGCTGTGCGGAGGGGGATCCTCCCGGGCAGTGGCCTTTGCTGAGGCTGTTTCCTCCCAGCTCTGCCGGGGAAAACGCAGATAAAGGAGCCACTGTTCAGGCGTGTTCCTCCAGCACCAGCTGTTGCTGCTGCGGCACCGGGACATCTCGCCCAGGCACTGCTCTGTCCCCGCGGGAGGTGGGAGAGCCACGGGCAGTCGTAATGGCGGAGCAATTCCTACCTCGCCTTGTGCAACCGCGGCTGGGCGCTGCAGTGCTGCCCAGAGTTCATGGCCAGACCCGGTAGGGCTGTGGGGCAGGTCCCGAAACCTGCCCCGGGGGGGCCAAGCGGTCGGGCAGGATCTCCCCGGCATCCTGGACGTGCCGGGCTGCAGGCGCGTGGCGGGGGCAGACATGGGGAGACCCCAGCACGGAGCCTGGGGCTCTTCCCCACTCCACCCTTGGCCCCACAGTGAGGACGGGGCACCCCATGGGGGCCCGGGGTGGTTGGGGGCTGTAGGTGTGAAGGGGAGACCCATCTCCTTCCCCAGACGCTGGGGGAAAGAGGCAAAGGAGCGCTCCTGCACGGCAAGTCACCTGTAAAACCCGAGCCCCCCCGGCCCACGGCAGCCGCTGGCCCTCCCCGGGCTTGGCCAGACAGGGCTGTGCCTTTGCAAGCACCAACAAGCCGCAGCCGAGGCTTCCCGGGGAGGATGGATGCACCTGTGGTCCTGCACGCTGCGGTCGGACACATCTCCGGCTACGTGAGGCATTTCACCATGTCCCAGCACGACTTGGGTTTGTTTTGCACTAATCGCTTCTGGCCGTGGCTTGCGCCCCTGCTGGAACCGTCCCCTTCGCTGCCCTGCCAGGGCCGTCGGGGCCAGGGCTGTGCTGCCGAGCGCCCACACTCTGCCGTCAGCCTGTCAGCTGCGTTCGGAGGAAAACAACCCAATTGCCTCATCGGGGCAGATGCCTGTCGGGTTTCGGCAAGGAAGGATCCCAGCTGCGGTCCCAGCGGGGACACACACGCCTTCCCCCTGCTCCGGCTTTTCCTGCGTGATCCCCTCGGGAGCGCTGGGCTGACCCAGGATTTGTGTGCAATTCCCCCCTCAGCGCTAATGAGGATTATCCCCACTGGGCTCAGGAGTTGCGTAAGGTCTTGGCTCTCCTGCAAAGCTCCGAGTTCTCACCGGGAGCAGCGCAGCAGATCCAGCCCTGTCCTGTCCCCCACTCAATTCCACACACCCAGACACAACCAGTCACTTCTAATGTTTATTGCAAGGGGACACCAGATCCTGCCTCATGCCCAGAGAAAGGGGCTGCCCAGCAGCGGCCGCCGGCCCTGTGAAGCCTTCTTCCAGCAGGTGTACGCCAGATCTTCAGGTCTGCCTCACCAGCAGGCTGGCTTGAAGACAGACCGTCATTGGGGCTGGACGAGAAGACTCACAGGCAGCAGGAGGGGCGGTGCTGGGGTGCAGGGACAGTGCAGGGGTGAGATGAGCAGGTCTACAGGTAGGCAGGCAGGTCCTTCTCGATCACCTGCGAGAAAGAGGGGAGCGTTGTGCTATGAGCCCATCACTGCCCCCAGAAACGTGCCCGAAGCCCCCTCTGTCCCACCCCAGAGGGTGCTCAGAACCACCTGCCCGCTCTGCGCTGGGCATCCACTGTACTGGTGCCGCAGCCACCCCCCGCCCCGAGCACAGGGTGCCTTTTCTCCCCCAGGCAAAGGAGGACGAGAGCTGCGACACGGCAGCGGAGCCTGCTCCAGAGCAGTGCTCAGCCCCGGCACTGCCGCATTTCTCCGCAGATGTGATCTGCGGAAAGTTGCAGTTCCCCTTTTCCCATAGCTCAGCTGGTAACACCACCCACGCCGGCAGTAGACTCACGTAGGGATCCTCCATCGGACTGTACCTCTTCACCACTTGGCCCTCCCGGTTAATGAGGAACTGTGGAAGCAAAGCAGTGCCCGGGTGAGTGAGTCCAACTGTAACCTGGGCTCTGCAGCCCTGTGAGAGCAGCACAGGGAGCTGCTTATGGCAGGGTTGGGCTGCGACAGATCCCGCCAGCGGAGCTGCAGCCCCTGGCAGAGCTGGTTACTGCCTCTCTGGGCCAGGGCTGGAGAGAACCGGGCACAGGGACCAGGACAGCGCAGGAGCCCCTCGGGACACTCCTACCCAACATCCAGGATAACCGCATGGCGCAGAGCCTGTGGTGAGGATCCTTCCTCCCTGCAACCCCCCAAGGACTCGCCACCACCCCCCAAAGAGTGAGGGCGTGACCCAGACAAGCCCAGGAGAAGCAGCTCTGTCCTACCTTAGTGAAGTTCCATTTTATTGCACTACGAGAGAAAAAACAGGAGTGAGTCTGTGGCAGAAAAAAACTCTCCCTGCTGCAGCCGGGCCACCCGCTCGGCAGGAGCAGCCCGGAGCCGCCCCCTCCCTGACGCTGGGGTGCTGTGCACAGCTCCCCCGTCCCACACTCACTTGCCCAGGGTGCCTCTTCCTTTGGGCTGGTCCTTCATCCATTTCCAGAGCGGGTGGGCATCGTCCCCATTCACATCAATCTTACTGTACATGTCAAACTTCACACCATAGTTTTCAGCAAATGCCTTAATCTGAGCGTCGTCCCCGGGCTCCTGAGGAAGGTGACGGAAGGGGCACTCTGTGAGCGTTCCGGGGCGGCAGAGGGGGCCCGGCCAGGCGAGGGGGGGCCCTCACCCTACTCCCCCACATACCTGTTTTCCAAACTGGTTGCAGGGAAAGCCCAGGATGCGTAAACCCCTCTCAGCGTATCGGGCGTACAAGTCAACAAGCTGAGTGTAGTTTACAGCAGTTTTTCCTCATTTAGAAGCCACATTGGTGATGATGCAGACGTAGCCTCTGGAAAGGAGGGGGCTGAATCAGCAGCCTTTCCCGGGCAGGAGCAGGGCGAGGCCCCTCACCCCCCCCGGGGGGAGGCGGGCAGCCCGATGAACAATCTGCTCTCCGGGTTACGCAAGAGATTAAGCCGCAGTGGGACAACCGCCGTCGGGCGCCGTCCTGAGGCCCTTTGAGCCGCGTTCCTCCCCCCGCCCACCCCGGGGCTCTTAGACCCGCGGCTCCAAGGCCGAGCGGGGCCCGGCCCTTCTCCTCCTCCTACCGGTACTTCTCCAAGGGGACGTCGTTGCCATCGATATCTCGGGCGTGGAAGGCATAGATGGCCTTGGCCGAGCGCCAGTCCTCCGCCTGGGCACACTGCGGCGGACGAGGGGGAAACACACACACACACACGACACACCGTGAGAGGCCATCAGCCCCCACCCCCTCTGCCCCCTCCGGCCCGGGAGTG